ACTGAGCCACCCAGGCGCCCCCCCATTTCACAGTCTTACTGTAAATGGGAAATTTATCTATGAGTTCCCACTGGGGCATTTCCTGAACCCCACCTTGTTTGGAAAGGACAGCTCCTTCTGGAGCCCTGCAAAGGCTGCCAGGGACCGAGCAGCAGGTGGCTGAGATGGGAATGCTCTCACTCTGCAGTTGCACTGCGGGTTGGAAGACAGACACACATCACAGCCCTCACAGCCCGGCTGCTCTCCCCCGCTACACAGCAAGCCAAATCAATCTGTCAACCGACAGCAAATCAACTCAAAAGAATAAGAAACAACAGAAATAAATAGGCACGCTGCACTTTCCCTGACCTTTAAACTGATTACAGCCTTGATTGTCTTCCAATTTTGAAGTGAAATGAAACAGCAGTTGTGCATGGCAGAGAGGCGCATAAGAGCCTGCCAGTCACAGCTCAAGGGTTAGCAAGGGTTAAACTGTTAAGGAGGCTTTAACACTGCCAATGTGATGAACTCTTACTTGGAGGTACCCCCCCAACCCCTGCCCCTTTCCAGCATATTCTGCAAGCAGGCTCACCTAAGCCTCAGGACTGGACCATCCAGCTCATCCATTTTCTCATTCACTTGCTCATTCAGCTAATATTTATTCGATGCTCAGTTTGTGCCGGGCACTGTCCGAGGACAGGTCTTTGTCCTCAGGAAGCTTATACTTTAATAAGGAAAACATATAACTGCCAAGTAAACAAATAACAGATGGACTTATCTTGCCCGGGGCTCAGGGCATGCAGGCTTAGAGGATTCCACATTTCATTTATTTACTTTTTTTTTTTTTTAATGAATTGCTCTATTTTATTTTGTTATTTTATTTTAATTTTGGAGGGCTCCACATTTTAAAGAGAGCACAAAACAAGTGCAGAGCCAGTGCCTCCTTAGGGTATCAACCCCGGCTGACCAGGAGAACCCGGAAACTTAACGTTAACACAGATGCCTGGGGCTCATCCCAAAACCATCAGGTCAGAAGCTGTGGCGGTGAGGCACTGGTAATTTTTGACTTACAATTTTGAAATAATTTTGAATTTACAGAAAAGTTGCAAAAATCATCCACAGAATCCCCAAGTTCACCAGTAGTTTGCCCTGTGCCTTACTTACATTACTGGTTCCTCTCTGTGTGTGCACATGTACACATGTGTGTTACACATTCTTTTTTTCTGAATCATTTGAGGTTAAGTGACATATCATACTTGATATGTGTACATCAACATGTATAACAGCAATGGTGTATACATCATTGATCCCTAAAGCCTTCAGCATGTATCTTTTTTTTTTTTAATGATTTTATTTATTTATTTGACAGAGAGAGAGATCACAAGTAGGCAGAGAGGCAGTCAGAGAGAGAGGAGGAAGCAGGCTCCCTGCTGAGCAGAGAGCCCGATGCGGGCCTCGATCCCAGGACCCTGGGACCATGACCTGAGCAGAGGGCAGAGGCTTTAACCCACTGAGCCACCCAGGCGCCCCTTCAGCATGTATCTTAAGAATGAGGTGGTTTCTTTTCTTTTTCTTTAAAGATTTTGTTTTTGGGGCGCCTGGGTGGCTCAGTTGGTTAAGCGTCTACCTTCGGCTCAGGTCATGATCTCAGGGTCCTGGGATTGAGCTCCACATTGGGCTCCCTGTTCAGTGGGGAGCCTGCTTCTTCCTCTCCCTGTGCAGTTCCCCCTGCTTGTGCCCTCTCTGTCACTCTCTCTCAAATAAACAAATAAATAAATAAAATATTTCTTTAAATGAGGAAATTTGATAGTGCTATGTAGTCATTTATATAAAGCCTCTATTCAAAGTTTGCTGATTGTCTCAATAATATCTTTCTTAGAATTTTTTTCCCATCCAGGATCCAATCTAAGATCCTATGTTGTGTTTAGCTGTCACGTCCCCTTGGTTCTCCTTTAATCTTGGTCTTTCTTGACACGGGCATTTTTTAAGAGTCCAAATCAGTTATTTTGGTGCGTGTCCTTCAACTTGGGTTTGTCCAATGTTTCCCCATGATTAGATTCAAGTTATGCATTTTGACAGGAGTAGTGGAAAAGCATATGTGATGAGTGTCCGTCTTAGTACATCATACCAGAAGGCACATTACGTCAGCTTGTTCCAATACTGGTGACACTAATTTTGAACACTGGGTCTGCCAGGTTGCTCTAATGCAAAGTTAATATTTTTCCTTTCGTTTAATGACTACTTTGTAGAGGGATATTTTGAGACTCTAAATATCATATTCCTCATCAAAGTTTCACTCAATGGTGTTAGCAAGTACTGATTTTTTTTTAAAGATTTTATTTATTTATTTGACAGACAGAGATCACAAGTAGGCAGAGAGGCAGGCAGAGACAGAGGGAAGCAGGCTTCCTGCTGAGCAGAGAGCCCGAGGTGGGGCTCGATCCCAGGACCCTGAGATTACGACCTGAGCCGAAGGCAGAGGCCTTAACCCACTGAACCACCCAGGCGCCCCTCTCCTCTCTTAGACTAAAATGGGTGCTTCCCCAAACCTAAGCCCTAAAGCAAGGGAGGGAAAATCCAAGAGAAATTGGGGGGTGTCTCATTATTTGGTTGAATATCTGCTGTAAAGGTAGACTTACATCTGGATCATTCCTCTATGCCTATCTGAGGAGGTTTGATGTGATCTGGGTAGACACACTGGGGCAGAGAGAAGGAGACCATGGAGAAGTCTGCGTGTCTACCATTAGTTTCCTGTGTGTCAGGTGGACAGTGAGAGGTAACTTGAACTATTTTCCTAATGCTCTGACCAAGAGGGCTGGCCACTGGATAAGGAGACCCCAAAAGCAAAAGACTAGGAGTAGACTGGCAGAGATGGGATCCGAAGTGGTGGTGGAAGAGGCAGAGACAGAACCAGATCCCCACAGGTGTTCTGCTACCTACTGTTTCACCTCCAGGAAGAATCATATGAGATACAGGAGTCAGAGAGTCAGCATGGAGATGCCTGCCCACAGGACATGAGTGGTAGCCTTAGCCAGAGAAGCAGCAGCAGCCACGGGAGGACGACAACAGATAGAGAAGAGAGGGATGCTCCTGTATCTCCCTCCTTCCCACCCATCCCACTGCAGGAGAAAGGGGATCCGGGAGAGGCAAGGGTAGAAGTGTGAAAGACCTAACTCTTCTTCCCCCACTCCCATCCCCATGGGTGGAGGGCAGATGAGGTTGGGTAAGCATTTAAATTGGATCTGAGATTGAAATTTTAAACTAGACCGGTCTTTCTGAAATTAGAACATACTGGAAAAACATGGAATCCCCCCCATATGCCATGAAGGGATTGGGAAGAGAGGTTTGAGAAAATAGGGTTGAAGACGGTTTCTGGGGAGAAGAGGAAGCCTTTGTTTAGACACCGTCATGCTGAGGTTGTTCATAGACTGGCTCCTGGTCCTGGGGGAAGGTCCCTTGAGGAGGTAATGCCCAGGCCTAGAAGATGAGAAGCAGCTGGGGATGAGTGATTTGACAGAAAAAAAATAGAAAGCACAGACCCCCAAGGTGGGGGGGGCACTGGCATATGACAAGAACAGAAAAGTCTGGAAGGGCTCCAGCCTAGTGATGGGGGACAGGTACAGGGAAGGATGGGGAGGTGAGAGGGTTCAAAGCATGGATAGCCCATAGCCTGCTGAGGTGAGGAGGTTTATTTTTCATAAATTCTAAAGTACTATGAATTTATTTAAAAGATTCCAACAGTGCACCTCTTCCTCCCTTGTCCAAATCCTAAAGGTGACCATCATTAATGTAGCCTTCCAGGCCGTTCAGACACCTCCATGTTTCCACGTATACACTTTTTTTTTTTCAAGGTTTTATTTGACAGAGAGAGACAGATAGCGAGAGAGAGCAGGAGCGGGAGGAGAGGGGGAAGCAGGCTCCCCACTGAGGGATCTCCCCAAGGAGCCCAATGCGGGGCTCGATCCCAGGACCCTGAGATCATGACCTGAGCTGAAGGCAGACACTCAACAACTGAGCCATCCAAGTGCCCCTACACATATAAATTATAATATGGATAAAAACCGATGGTTCTGTGATTCTTTTCCACTTGATAATATATCATGAATCTCCTTCCATGTTGCTGCTTGAATAAATGATGCTAAATCCATACCACACAACCGTTAAACTTCACGATGTTACTCTCTGGTCGTTGGCCATAATGATGTTCTGAGTACGTTCAGTGACAAGGTAGATCATGGGACAGAAGGTAACAATGTAAAATCCAGTCTTTAATAAAATATGTACAGATATCTATTTGTACCTGTTTGCACCGGAAAAAGTACAGCAGGATATACACCAAAATAGTAACAGTGGTGGGATTTCTGTTTTTTCCCTTTTTTTGGCTGTTGGTTTTCTAATTTTCCTATCGTAAATGTGTAATAACTTAAAGTTTTATAATAAAGAGTGTGGAAAGCAAATAGGACAAAATGGTGACATCTGCATATTACAGGAGACGGGTGCTTGTTATTCTTTGTATTTCTGTGTGTGTCTGTGCATGCACGCGTGCACATGTTTAGCTTCTCACAAAAAGAGAGAGGACAAGCATAATGCATCATTTCAGTTCAGACACACAATCAACAACTTAAAAAAGATAACCACCCATCACACTGATGGACACTGTGCTTCCAAAATGAGGGGTTACCCTTGATGACTTACAGCTTAAACAAAATGACTTGCAGACACGGGATGACACTGAGTTTGTTCGAGTGAGGAGAATGGCCATGTAAATTATGTCACATCACCTCTGTCATTCCAGAGCAGAATCCTAATCTGCAGTCACTCCCCCCACCCACACACAAAGTGATTTCCCTGCAGAGACAAGGACCTGACAATGACTCAGAGGGCTTCCTTTTAGAGCCTTGGGCTACGACTCAGTCTTCTCCTCAGCCTGCTACTTCTCCGCCATCTTGACTCCTCCCCCTCCAATTTTTCGACTCAGTCTTTTCCTAAACAAACTAAAGACTGTGACTCAAACAACTGACCTTTCTGTTCTTGTTTGGCCCAGAAAATCTTGACTCGCTGGCGAATGTGCTTGTCTTCACGCAGTTTCTTCTGCCACTGACGCAACTCTTGAATCTCAGGATCGCACCGAACCTGGAAAATGCCCACAAAGCTTTGGTTCTTTTTCAAAAATATGTCTATACATTAGCTTGTTAACTCTGCATGGAAAATCATTTACAAACTAATTGGATATACTCTGGATTCCAAGTGAATCAGTGTTCTAAGTCATTTATCTGAACTCCTACAGGTTATGTAATATTTGCGTGTAAATCAGGTTGTATGAGGATTTGCTATAATAATGATAGGTTGAAAACATTCTAGAGCTGTGCTGTCTAATAGATATATGATGGGGCCACATGTGAAATTTTAAATTTCCTAGCAGTTTCGTTTTAAAAAGTAAAAATGAGCCGGTGAGATTTTTTTTAAAATATTTTATTTATTTATTTATTTATTTATTTATATTTTAAAGATTTTTATTTATTTATTTGACAGAGAGAAAGGAAGAAGCAGGCTCCCCGCCAAGCAGAGAGCCCGATGCGGGGCTCGATCCCAGGACCCTGGGATCATGACCTGAGCCGAAGGCAGAGGCTTTAACCCACTGAGCCCACCCAGGCGCCCCAGTGAGATTATTTTTAAGAATATATTTTATTTAACCTCAAAGGTCCAAAATATTATTTTGACATGTAAGCAATACAAAAATTATTTATGAGATAATTTACTCTCTGTTTTCCATACTAAGTCTTCAACATCTACTGTATTTTACAGTTACAGCACACCTCGGTTTGGGCTAGACACATTTCAAGTGCTCAATGATCGCATATAACTGGTGGCTACTGTATTGGTTCGAGAAGAATCACAATGTATTAATCACTGTTCCGTTTAACACCAACTGACCACCTACTGCATACTGGGCTTTGTGCTAGACATTGTCAATAAAGAGACTATTGATGATAATTTGAATTGTTTTATTTTATTCTTTCATAGCTCATACTTATGTGCACTTAGGTTCCAGGTATTGTTTAAGTGTTTTACAAATTTAACCACCAAAACACCCAATAAGACAAGAACGATTATGCCCATTTTACAGATGAAGAAACTCAGTTTAGGCAGCTTGCCGAGCTGCAGAGCTAGGAAATGGTGTTGAGGTTCAAATGTAGGCAGACTGTTTCAGCTGCCCTTGAGGGGCTGAGAATCTAGTAGGAAACACAGAGTATTCAGGAATAAGATCAACAAGGATATTGATGAGTAGAAGGGAATGCAGAGGAGGAACTGAACTCAGCCTGGAGTGGTCAGCAAACACTTCATGGAGGAGATGATCCCTGGGCTGAGTTTTGAAGCATAAACTAGAGTTAGCCATGGAGGAAAGGTGGGTAGAGTGTAACGGTGGTCCATTTCTGCTTATTGTGATCATGTCACAAAGCCAGGTTCCCGCCTCCTGATGTTTCAGACCAGCACTAGATCTTAAGGCTTCCTGCTCTGATCACTGGGATCCAAGCTTCTTGGATTCGTTTTTGAAAAATCCTGTTGTCCTCTAGAAGGGTCCTTCCATGGCTTTTTATAACTAGGAAACTTGTGGGGGGCAATGTTGGGTTTGGGGTGATTGCAATCCCTTTCCCTTTAGAAAGTTCCTGGGTTCTTTATGTGAATTGATACCATGCACCAGAGCTCTACTCATTAAGAGGCATTTGGAGAGATGACCTTATCAGATTCAAGAAAAATAAATTCCTTCCTATTACTTCCTCTCCCAGGGCATGGGGTGCCTTGGTTGTCTTAAGAAAACTACTCAAGGGGCACCTGGGTGGTTCAGTGGGTTAATCCTCTGCCTTTGGCTCAGGTCCTGATCTCAGGGTCCTGGGATCAAGCCCTGCATCAGGCTCTCTGCTCAGCGAGGAGCTTGCTTCCCCACCCCTTCTCTGCTTGCCTCTCTGCCTACTTGCAATCTCTCTCTCTCTATCGAATAAGTAAATAAAATCTTAAAAAAAAAAAAAACTACTCAGGTGATTTTTTTCCAAAATAAAAAAGATGGACTGTAGTTTCCTGCTGAACTTATAAATGACAGCTACACTTGTTTAACAAAAAAGAAAATATACAATTTATCTATAAATATATATTTTTAAAATCACACAAAGGACCATATATGTATATATTGTGTGCATATATAGTATATGTATGTAATATGTATATATAATATGTTTATTGTGTGTGTTTATACATATCAAATACTTTGTATATAAAGTATATAACATATACCAGTATAATGTTATGCAAATTTCAGAGAGTAAAATGCCCCTCTATTAATGTCATAGAACATAAGGTAATCCCCTAAGTCTTTTAAATTACAATGCAATGTTTTTACAGTGTTTTAGAAAATCTTATGTTCAAAAGATTAGACACCTTCAACATCTCTGTTCTGTGGATTGAGCAAGCCCAAAGCCTCTTGGGCAGCAAATAAGGGATTATCCACATCTTTCCTACCAGCTTCAATTTATCTGGATCCAAGCACACAGAAATCCCCACATTTCTGCACTGTGACAACTGATACCCTTAATGATAATAAATGTGAAGGATCTTCTGAATCACTAAAGAAAGGTTAACACTAATTATAATCAAGCATATTGACTATGTTTTCTTACAGTCAAATTCTTTCTGCATAACTGATGTATTCTTTTATTTTTTTAAAAGGTTTTATTTATTTGACAAAGAGAGAGAGAGACAGCAAGAGTGGGAACACAAGCAGCAGGAATGGGAGAGGGAGAAACAGGCTTCTCGCTGAGCAGGGAGCCCGATGCAGGGCTCCATCCCAGGACCCTGGGATCATGACCTGAACCAAAAGCAGACACTAAATGACTAAGCCTCCCAGGCCCCCCTATAGCATAACTTTTTTAAAAAGATTTTTTTACTTTCCACCAACATACAATGTACTACCAGCCCCAGGGACACAGGTCTGCGAATCGTCAGGCCCACACACCCTACAGCACTCACCACAACACCCCCCCCCACAACATCCACAGCCCCACCCTCCACACCCCCCCTCACAACCCCCGGCCTGCCCTGCAAGACCAAGAGTCTCCCATGGCCCCCCCATCCCATACTGCCTCACCTCCCTGCCCAAACCCCCCACATTGCCCCCCAAATCCCCCATATCAGGGAGATCATATAATTGTCCTTCTCTGATTGAGTTATTTCGCTCAGCATGATACCCTCTAGTTCCACCCATGTCATTGCAAATGGCAAGATTTCATTTCTTTTGATGGCTGCATAGTATGCCATATATATATATATATACCACATCTTCTTTATCCATTCATCTGTTGATGGACATCCAGGTTCTTTCCATAGTTTGGCTATTGTGGACATTGCTGCTATAAACATCTGGGTGCACGTGCCCCTTCGGATCCCTACATTTGTATCTTTAGGGTAAATACCCAGTAGTGCGATTGTTGGGTCGTAGGGTAGCTCTATTTTCAACTTTTTGAGGAACCTCCATGCTGTTTTCCAGAGTGGCTGCACCAGTTTGCATTCCCAGCAACAGTGTAGGAGGGTTCCCCTTTCTCTGCATTCTCGCCAGCATCTGTCGTTTCCTGACTCGTTAATTTTAGCCATTCTGACTGGTGTGAGGTGGTATCTCATTGTGGTTTTGATTTGTATTTCCCTGATGCCGAGTGATATGGAGCACTTTTTCATGTGTCTGTTGGCCATCTGGATGTCTTCTTCACAGAAATGTCTGTTCATGTCCTCTGGCCATTTCTTGATTGGATTATTTGTTCTTTGGGTGTTGAGTTTGATAAGTGGTTTATAGATTTTAGAGTAGCCCTTTACCTGATATGTCATCTGTGAATATCTTCTCCCATTCTGTCAGTTGTCTTTTGGTTTTGTTGACTGTTTCCTGTGCTGTCCAAAAGCATTTGATCTTGATGAAGTCCCAATAGTTCATTTTTGCCCTTGCTTCCCTTGCCTTTGGCGATGTTTCTAGGAGGAAGTTGCTGTGGCTGAAGTCAAAGAGGTTATTGCCCGTGTTCTCCTCAAGGATTTTGATGGATTCCTTTCTCACATTGAGGTCCTTCATCCATTTTGAGTCTATTTTTGTGTGTGGTGTAAGGTCCAGTTTCATTCTTCTGCATGTGGCTGTCCAATTTTCCCAACACCATTTGTTGAAGAGACTGTCTTTTTTCCATTGGACATTCTTTCCTGCTTTGTCAAAGATTAGTTGACCATAGAGTTGAGGGTCTATTTCTGTGCTCTCTATTCTGTTCCATTGATCTATGTGTCTGTTTTTGTGCCAGTACCATACTGATGATGACAGCTGTGTAATAGAGCTTGAAGTCTGGAATTGTGATGCCACCAACTTTGGCTTTCTTTTTCAACATTCCTCTTGTTATTCGAGGTCTTTTCTGGTTCCATATAAATTTTAGGATTATTTGTTCCATTTCTTTGAAAAAAATGGATGGGATTTTGATAGGGATTGCATTAAACATGTAGATTGCTTTAGGTAGCATAGACATTTTCACAATATTTGTTCTTCCAATCCATGAGCATGGAACATTTTTCCATCTCTTTGTGTCTTCCTCAATTTCTTTCATGAGTACTTTACAGTTTTCTGAGTACAGATTCTTTGCCTCTTTGGTTAGGTTTATTCCTAGGTATCATGGGTTTGGGTGCAATTGTAAAAGGGATTGACTCCTTAATTTCTCTTTCTTCTGCCTTGTTGTTGGTGTATAGAAATGCAACTGATTTCTGTGCACTCATTTTATATCCTGACACTTTACTGAATTCCTGTACAAGTTCTAGCAGATTTGGAGTGGAGTCTTTTGGGTTTTCCATGTGAAGTATCATATTATCTGCAAAGAGTGATAGTTTGATTTCTTCTTTGCCAATTTGGATGCCTTTAATTTCTTTTTGTTGTCTGATTACTGAGGCTAGGACTTCTAGTACTATGTTGAATAGCAGTGGTGATAATGGACATCCCTGCTGTATTCCTGACCTTAGCGGAAAAGCTCTCAGTTTTTCTCCATTGAGAATGATATTCGCTGTGGGTTTTTCATAGATGGCTTTGATGATATTGAGGTATGTACCCTCTATCCCTACACTTTGAA